TATCATTTGCACTACGAAGAATACTTACCATTATCAGTCGTAGGATCTTCGGGAAATGTTCAAAATATAGAAGGTAAGCGCCTCCTTTTGTTCCGTCAGCATAATTTCTCCACGCAATTGGTCGTTTTGACGCTGACTATAGATGTTTGGTTCTGCCAGTAAGCAAGGATTATGAGACAGGGGAAATAATTCAGCTGCAGAATACATCTTGGCCAGTGAAATGCGCAGTCTTCGATTTACTATAATCGCTTTGTCACCACATCCAACGTTGAGCGAAATGATGAGTGGCTTCTTGCTGACTATTACTTTCTCAATTTTACTGCATTTTGTTCTGCTGCCTTTTTCGATGAAGCTTTACAGGTTTCCATCTGCTTAAACGTACTTCCGAGAAGCGATAGTTTCTTTTTCAAGCTTATCTGGCAAGCCTGATCATTGTATACAGGAGAACAGCATTCAAACAAGTTCTCATTTCAAGTTCAACGGACAAAAGCTGTTGATTTTAAGATAAAGACTCTCCCAATAAATTTACGATTGGTAGATTTTTGCAGTGCGTCATCAGTTCTACTTTGACTGCTGAAATCTAGGCAGTTGCCTTCGCATACATTTGTGAAATTGGTGCTTTGATGTATACTATTGAAACTTTCAAGCAAATGTCATGCGTGATGTAAATTCTTACACAAAATAAGCTCAGCATTGACTTGCCGAAAATAGGATGTCGCCTTCACATTCAAAAATATCTGCTAATATGAGGCCTAATGGACTAACTATTACCACTCCATCGACTTGGTGATAAAATACACCTTAAATTTAGGAGCTTCTTGAATTTGGTTGTTGATAGAGGGATAACATCGACAAACAAAAAGGTAATATCTGCAGCTTCAAAAAAATACACCTGTGTGAAAAAGTCAGATCTAAGGAAAACTTAAGCTCATTCAAGATAATAAGTTGGTTTTCCTCTCAACTAACTGAAACTATTCGTTCAAAGTGTATCTAGCCAACGGTTGATGAACTGGTTCTCTAATTTCAACCAGCTGACAAGCAACTTTGTGGTAGGGTTAATTTAACGTTTAAGGTACAAGTTTTAACGCAATATCTCGTTTAGGTATCTTAAAAAGGGCCTCATATAAAAGGCAAAAAGTATCCTTGAAGCTTCTTATCATTGTATGTGAAACCATCAACCAACTTCCCTTTCAAGAGTTTTCTGAGTGCCTTTGTGGTGCTTTTTGTCACTTAGTTTATCATGTCTTTATTCCTACTGTCAATTTTTACCTTGAATGGGTCATATAGAATGGACTTCATGTTGTTAATACAACCATTCTTGTTCATTATTACAATAACTGAAGCTTTATCCAACAGAAAAATTACTATAATTTCATTGTTTTCCAAGGGTTTTGTTACACTTTACCGTTCTTTCAACAAGATTTTGAACTGAGGAGGAGGTGACACTACGCACTGACTAGCAGTTTCGACCAACTTAGCTATGAGCCAACTTTTCTTGTCATCACTTACTGGCTGTGTGTAACTTAACCGAATAGTTACATTTTTGGATTGAGTTTCTGCGTCGATTTTGATCATAAATTCCTTTCCAACATGGAGCCTGAATCTAAATGAAAGCCTTCCAAGTTCCTTCTTCTTCAGCTTTAAATTTGACAGGTTATATATATATTTGCCTACATTTTCACGAAAGCCATCATAGATTCACTGTACTCACAAGATCTTTGAGAAACCGCCACAAGTTTCATACTGGAGGTATCCAGTGGAATTAATAAATGTTACGTGACACACAATGCTCTAACTGTTGACCAGACTTCTGAAAGCACTGGCTTCTATCAACAGTTTCCTAACCATTCCATGTTTGCTACTAGGAACAGATAAAACGTTCCTGCTAATAATGAGTCAAAAGGTTTCTTGTGAATGGCAAAAGGTTATATCTTATGAGGAATGTATAGATAAAGTCGATTTATTAACCAATGTGATAATGAGTGAAAGTTTACACGTACGTTTGTGAAATGATCCGAAGAAATCATATTTTTACTTATATCCATATGATTACGGAAATTGGTGTTTATTACACGACTTGTTCATCAGCACTAAAAACCAAGCTGTATTGAAAAAGTGAAATTTCACTGTGAACCATTCTGCTGCTAAGTGGTGAGAGTCAATCAACAAGAAGCTGTGAACCCTAATTTCGTACTAACCCCGAAAACAGTGGGCCACAGTGTCGTAACACTTTGCCTAATGACAAAATTGTGAACTCGGTCGACAGGACTCGATGTGCTGAGCACAGGGAACTAGATAGTAAATCGATCAACCACTGGTAACCAATCTGCACAAACCGGACATTATTTTATCCTACGCAATAGTCTTACCCTAATTAAAATTCATTTGACACTCTTCAGTAATATCCTTTGAAGGCTGAAAATTCAAGAGAATTGAAGACCGTTGTCAAAAATCAAACCGCTTTTTTTTCCCACACCGCTCAAAAGTGTTGAGATTATTACTTTTAGAGCCTTTTCTCTTACACTTTATACCACTTATCTAAAATAACTAACTGACTAAATTCAACTACAATGTTTCCTCTTGTCCTCAAATTCAATCTTTCATTGAAGAACAAGAATTATGCTTGTTCTATCAAATGGTTTGAGCAGATGTATAACTTTGAAACTAGATAGATTCATTTATTCATTCAGTCTTCTCTATCTTTGTCACGTAAAACGGACTCTAATTGTGGTATCCTGAAATTAAACGAAAGCGGCATTCATATAAGCGTGCTTGTATCATTCGGAATACTGTTTAGCAAATGTATGATATGTGATACCATGAGACACAATATCAATATTGGTCGGAGCAGTGCAGAAACCATAAATTATTTTACTGTTGTCAGTAAACAGACCTCTTAGTTTTAATATATGTATTCGTAAGCAAAAGATACAGACGCATATAGCCATTGTCATGCTTTTCAAAAGCAGTGGTCATCCACCATAAATATAAATCATGTGTGCAAAAAGGGTTTGTCATTCACCACAAACTGCTTCGATTATCTGGCATCATTTTAATGTGTTCCTTCCTTCTTTGTTATTATGTCCTTGAATTGTTTCAACTTGTAGCCCATTCGAAATCTTACTCATTCACCTTAGACTTTCGACTTCTAGACTACCTAACCTCTTCGTTGTCCAGCTCTACCGTTTGTCAGTTATCTTCTATTATTAAATGTAAGTACATCCTGTGTAGTTGCTGAGTCGTCGGCTCACCTTTTTTTCTTCCTTTCTTTTCTTATCCAGATTCTCGTGGCCACCACCAGACTCACACTGCTGTGCTCGCCCGCTGCAACAAGGTGCCTATCTACAAGCTAGACTAAAACTTATCAACAACTGGTCGTTACAAGCTTCCTGTTCTTCTGAAAATGGAACATATCTGTATCAAGTAGGTTTTGGATTTTCAGTACGATGAACTTAAGTGCGGTTAAATTGTAACTCCTAACATATCATTCACTGCTTTATTCTTATTTTTATGATTGCATATCTTTGTCTTAGCCAATTTAAGACCACTTCTAATGGAGCTTATTTATAAACCTCTGAATCGTATCTATTGTAACTTAGAACTCTATGTTTCACGAATATGACTAATTTAGTTACAGACATCGTCATTTAGCACTGTTACTTCCTTTTATTAGCTTCTATCAGATGATTTAACGCCCACGTAACAATTCATTCTCGTTCATAAAGTCATTAACATGCTTCACCTTTTTCATGCTTCGATATGAATGCAATCGTGTGTGACAGAATTTGACTATCAGCACTATTATATCACAAAACTACCTTGAACTGCTTAACCTATGATTACGGCACAACATGTTGTGGCCTACTGAACAACTGTCCACTTCTCTCACAGTCAAATGCAAACAAGCAGAATAAATGCATACTCAGCCACTCACTGGGTGACTGCCTTTGCATTCTCCTGACTGCATCGCATCGCATTCACGTTTCGAAATCAGTGCATATGCGGATGACATGGCGCACATAAAAGTGAAGTTTAATAATTTAAGGTTAACCAACGTCTTGGTTATTTTCCAACTATTTACGCAATTATTGTCAATTAATGAAAATACGTTTTAAGTATTGTTTTTACCATAAACAGTATATTCTGTAGGCTATAAAGAAGCTGAAAGGAATCCACAAGATATATGAACACCAATTATGTTACTACTGTTCGTTCTGCTATTTTTCAGTTTTGTGAAACGGAAGAATAGTATGTGGACAGAAATTAATTCATCAGAAAATATTCGTTATTCTTGCTTGGTGAAAAATTATTAGGCTGAAATAATTTATTTCACATCAAAATTAAGTTGAAATATCTTTAAATATCAAATTACATCGTGAACTGGTTGATTTTTAAACTTGTTGACTTCTGGAAATTCACTTTTATGCACACATGCCAAAAAAATACCTTTTTCTTCTCATAATTCAATGTATTCAAGATACTGACTGCAACAAAGCTGCTCATAGTCATTTCATTTTATTCCCTTATCATCTTGTCACACAAAATCGCATACACACAGAGTAGTAATAGATACCACACTGTTTTTCAGAACTTCGGGCGGTTTCATTATATTTATTTTGTCTCACAGAAGTAAACTGCATTGGTGATATTATTCTCTTATATTCTTCAGATATATGAAACACTTTTGACACCGTGGTATATTTCAACGTTGCTTTTACCATCCTAATTGTTAAACTGGATCCACTGAATTCACTCAGCAACGTGTTAAGATTGGCTTATCTAGAAGCTTCATCGCTTGTGGATGAAAGCAGTAGATTTGTGCCTAACTTTCCTAAGTACTTAATATGCAAGCTATAGGTTCTTAGTTAAAATCCCTCTTTATCAACTTTAACCTGGATGTCCTGGTTGGAAGATGTCTTTTATTTTGTGAATTGAGTTAAAGATAACATTTTTTAAACTTTCACTGTTCTCATTTCTATACTTTAAAAAACACTAGTATGTACAAGTGAACAACATTTATTATTTTTATTTATTGCATGAAATTTCCGAGTTACATTTTTCAGAATTATTCAATGCATATTGAACACGTATGTTGAACATTGAATATCCATCCCCCATTGATACTTTTCATCTTTATCCATATCTAGAATTAAAATAAAGCGTAAGATTTTATTATACTCAAACCTCTTTCTAACGGTATTAGTAACTTAGCAAATAACTGGAAATGTTTATCAGTTTGTATAACTTAAAAAGTTGTAGTTAGGAAACATAAAACATGGTTCCAAAGTTTCATCGGTATAAAAGACATTTCTATTAATGCAACAGGTCGAACACAAATAGATGCGCTAATGTGATACATCCATATAGTTTTAAGATTTACTTCAACGTATAAATACGATAGCTTTGGATGCGAAGATACTGTAAGTGAAATCGATACAGTCAGCATCTTCACACCCGTAATGCAATATGAGACCGCAAGCTGTTGTATTCATTCCAAAACATAATACAAGCGTTACTGAATTTCCATATTAATTGACATCAGTTGATTAGTATCAGCTAAGCAGCAGTATTCATATGGAAACGTAAATCCTAAGTGAGTGAGGAAAGATAACCAATAATAATGTCTGTTGATAGTAATCGACAATTTCACAACATTAACACGGACCATCCAGCAGAGGATGTTGAAAAGCTTTCAAAACTGGTGTTTCACCCAAACAGATGTAGATGCATCGGGGTACATCACTTCCGAGAATTTTATTTTAAATCACACAGTTAAACATCTGAGCTGCTTGTTATAATTTTGGCTGTTGTCGAAGTTCATGGATGCCCCACACTAAGAATGCCAGGATTTTTGACAGAATATTATTGATCTCAGCCCGGTATTCATTATGGACTGATGTCAGAGGAACATTGTAAACCTGAGAGCACTAGTGGGGTCATAAGTGCACACTGCTCAACAGTCTCGTACTACGACGAAACAGGTGTTCAGAGTTCTCAGGCTTCCAATGTTTCTCCAACTGACGTCAGTCCATAATGAATACCAACCTGAAGTCAATAAACTAATCTCCGTAAACCTTAAAGTAGAATATTACTGCTTGGTTATTAGGAATAGTCCTACAAAAAAGTCGTAACAAATACTTCATTCGCCACCGATAATATCTAAGTGATATATTGCGCAGCTGATTAAGGTCACAAAAGATTTTGGCTAGACTGACTGGCTTTATCTGACCAAATGGTTACAGAAATACTAAGTGGCGTGTGTAATCATCCCAATATATAGAAAATAACGTTGCAGGCAGTTACTGATGATATTCGAGACTTTCATTTTCTTATTATTTCTACTGGAATACTTTACTACTAAGATAAAATTCAATGCTGTTTTGATACAAATGAATGGTAGATATTACTGGCTTACCTACTTTGCAATAATATAAGCGTTTCATCACTGTACACAGCCTCCTGTATCTTCAAGTCTTACCATTATTGCCGAAATATCTTGTTGCCAAGGCAATTCAGTTTTAAGAACAGTAGTGACTACATTCATATTTTTAGTATACTGAAAAATTTCAAAATGAAAACACATCTAAGGCGATTGGGCTTCCGTGTATATTTCAGATCTTTCGCGTAAAATTTACTCACTTTCTACTTTCAACTCAGTAAAGTATCCTAATGGCAACTGTATTTTTTGCACAGATATGTTCCATTCGAATTTAGCAAGAAGCTAAAGGGTATGAAGTAACCATGTGGTTGGCAATACTTGGAAAGCCTTTTGCGAAATGTAACAGACAAATTTACTGAAAGTGCAGACAGACAGATATAATCAGCCCAGAACTTCACAAAATGCATCTATTCAAACTGCTACACTTCACAGCAGTAAACAGAGAGCTAGTCGATGTAGAAAGATTGATATCAAAGTCGACAAAGGTACATTGGAGGAGAAGGAATTTTAGAGATAAAGGTTGGTCAAAACATCCAAGCTTTAAAATACATCGAAAAGTGAGTAAATTTGCACCGTTGTGGCCAATTTGCAGTCATTTTATCAACAGCTCTGGACCAGGTCTGGCCCCCTTGAGCCTTTCTCCAACATAGCTTAACTTCTCTTAGCATTCCATATCGAGGTAAACAGTGGCTCGGCACGCGCAACACACTTCCAAGTCAACTGAGTCCACAAAGTTTCACAACCTCATCGACTGACTTCCTTTCCTTGCCTGATGGCCTTTGCCTAACCTCGATGCTGCTACCATGGTGGCTTTACCATCAGTAAGCGATACTAATAAGACCATGAAGGTGATTATATAAATACATTGGCAAAATAAAGATAAGGGTCTCTTCTCCGGATTTTTATTTGCACTTCTACCCATCGCAATATGTTTAAGAACTTGTGCACGAAGTGCTTGTCAGTTAGTGTAGTCATTTTTGTTCTTACTGATTAACGAACCCTAGAAAAAACAAAAGTTTTCTTTGATATTATAGAATGAATATCTAGGTAGTATTTTCCACTGAAAACCTTTTCACAGAAACACATTTGGATCCTAAGTATCATTTAAAAGCAGGAACTGAACACCGACGCTCTTAAAGTTAGTAGTCTGCATCATCGCGACGATTAGGCAGTCTTATAGACTAAGCATTCAAAAATCCTACTTGAAGTACGGATCTCTTTAATGCTGTGCAGAAAAATTATTCTTCTCGTTATCAGAATTTCTACCTTATGGATACTAGACGAACAGAAATGGAGTTATTTATTACCGAAATCATTTAATTAACCACAAATAGAAGGAAGCCAATTTTGAAACCAAATGTCTGAAAGTAATAGACAGTGATAAGCGGGAAAAACAAGGAGTAAAAGCGTGTACCACTTATAAGATCAGAAATTATACTTTCGTTCTAAATAACTTTAAGCGTTTATGTGGTTTTCGATGATATCATCAAGCACAACGAAGAGAGAGGCAAATAACCTTACATGTCAAAGTAACAGTGACTTCTTGAAATAAAGTTTTACGTTACCAAAATAAAAACAAGTTAGACCAATTTCTTCACAGGTATGGTCAATAACAAAGAAACACTACTGAAGGCAATGTGTCATTATGAGTAAAACGCGTCACAGTAAATCTGGTAAAAAAACATTTCATGATCCCAACAGTTTATTCGTCCCTCATACGGTTCGTATCATTTCTGCGCTCTCAATGATCTTCATAACACGAGAGAAACTTTTAAATGCATCATGCAAAATATTATCATATAATCACTGAAAATTAGCTGTAAAAGTCACACAATGCTGCTTATTAAATACGCTCTACAACATATAATGACCATTAACTAAACCTATGTCACTTACAAATTAATTACATTTTATTAATATTTATTGATATACATGTAATTTTCCGTTGTTTTATTAAGTTGAATTGTTCGGTCTCTGTTGGCATATGAGCCTCCATGCAGATACCTTGACACTGTCTTAATCTTATTTATGGTAATTTGTTTGGTTGTGGCTAGCAGGATGCTCGTTTTGACCTATTTGGGACTCGTCAGATGGATGTATTTTTGCCAAACAAATTGCTATAATTAACATCCAGGCAATATCAAGGCATCCGCATAGGAGCCCATACGTGAAGACAGGTTAAGCAAATCGATCCAGTTTAACAACACAGAATTACTAGTATAGCAATAGCAATAGTAGTTATAACTAATACCCGTTGTACAAGAAGTGGCTATCGTCCCTCTGTGCCACAGTGGATAATGCCTTAGCGTTTGAACTGATGATTTTGAGTCTCAGTGGAAACAACACTCACTGAGGTACAGGTACATCCACCTGACGAGTCCCAACTAGGATGAAACGTGAGTTCTGAATTCTTCTGCTGGCCACAACCAAAGAAATTACCATAACTACATTTTCATAGAGATGAAGATTTGTGTTTTTATTCTACAGTTTTTAGGCACGACTATGGGGAATGAAAGTTGACGAATGAAATGAATACTAGCTTTAACGATTCCAATGCTTATTGTCCAGTTGTTCTACATAACCTATTTCTTCAGAAGGAAATTAAAAGCAATAACTTAGTAGCCCTCATCGACCTAACATTTCTTGGTGACAGTTATTATGAAATATGTTTGATTTTAAACAAAAATTTGTAAATTGCTCGGATTACTTCACACTCAGATCAATTTAAATCAGAAAAATGAAACAGAGTGACATCTTCAACTTCTAAATGATCAGAAGAAAAAAGTAATTATTTTCTTACCACTAAAAACTTGTTTTTCCGGCTTATTATTAGCCTTTTGTGCATAGTAACAATTCGAAAAAAACCCTTATAAAGGACTTATTTTGTTGCAACAACGCGTATAAGCAAGGAGATTCACATTACTTGATAAAAAGGTAACCGAAAATGTTTTTTATTAGTTTTAAGAAGATCGGTAAATCTCATTCTAAATGGTAACACAACTTTAGCATCCCCTGTTGGCTACAAATTCTACAGCTTAATAGAATTAGACACACTCTACAAGACCCTCATGCTGCCTTGCCGTACAACTACAGATGTGATAGAAACAATTGAGATATTTTTGTGACAAAACATTAGTCATTCTAAAAGACTTGTTAGATACACGTTAATCATTGCGGTCAAATCACTAGTGATCTAATCATGAAAAAAAAGTATTTTCGGTACAATGAAGTACTGAACCAACAAAATTCTGTTCGCTACACATGCTATAAAATCCAATTAGTATAGGGAATTACAGTTCAAGATATAATTTCCCACCGAAATTTTTAATGTAGTGTATATTCTGTTACGGTTTACTATTAGCTTCGATGCCATCAAAGTCAGGTTGTTTTCGTTTCTCAGATTTAAGTCTAAGTGAAAAAAGTACACTTAGTTTTTCAATGGGAAAAATGTAGTAGACAGTTTACTTAACCTTTCACAAAAACAATCCATTTCAAAACTAGTTTTCTGACGTGTAAACGTCTTTGTTCTGACCAAAGATGAACTGCCGGTATCCGGCATGTTGCCAGGTAATCTTTAGGCGATATGACAAACATAAGTAGTCATTGTTTCGTTGAAATAAATATAAACGTATTACAATAAGTTAAGAAATTTCTTGAAAATCATCCTCAAAACTATTCATTCTACATAAGATTTGAACGAAATA